CAGAGGGAATCTCGTTAATCCATTCATGCGCGTCACTAATTGGATGACGAGGCATTTGGCTAGTTTAATACATTTATTCAGTTAACTATATGTACATGTCAGCTAAAGATGTCCCGCTGTGGGCAGTGCACTTACCAGCAAACAGGCTTGGTGCGTGCCAGCGCAAGGACGCCACAACATTTATACATCAATACAAAGCCGCAATCTTCCAACATCACCTGGATAAAAATAGAAAAGTATATTAGACATATATACAACAGTAGTTTGGACCGGGCACAACCAACAAACATGTTAAAAATTAAAACACAGGCAAAACTCAAATAATACATGTTAAAATTAATGTAAAGATAAAATTGTAAATGGGACAACAAAATCATAAATATCAAAATAAGAAAGCATAAAATCAATGTAAATATAAACTATACAACAAATTAAAACAGGGTAGAATTTTAAATGACTAGAAATTATATTAATAAATAGGACCAAACAAAAATTAAAATTGGTTGTATTGGGGGGACCCTCACCTTCTCCGCATATGTCGCCCCACGCACTACACCGCCCGGAACCGCCGCCTGACCGCCGCTCGGCACAACCACACCCTTCTCAATTAACCCCGACAGCACCTAGGCTCGCGCGTTGGCAGCATTCACCTCTCCGACCAGCTCCTGGATCGCCGTGGCGAACCAGGTAACACCGACCGTCAACGCCGCAGTCAGCTCCGGGGTCGGACAAGACCTCCCCAAGAGCCCGATGTATTCCTCCAGTCGGGTCTGGACCATAGCGACGTTCACGCTACCACCCTCCGGGGCCATAACGCTCCCGTACGGCATATCCCAAGTCATGCCAAGGAAAACCATGCTTCCCCCGGCCGTACTTCTACCCGCAAGACCACCAGTGATACTGCTAGTGGCATCCTCGTTCTCCGACTCGCTAACAACCCCGCTCACTCGTCTCCTCGGCGGGTCCATCTCGAGCTTGGTAACCTTTCCGGCCCTTCCCGAAGTTTTGGTCTCGCGGCCCTTTTTGGGAACGGGTCCCTTCGCGGCGGACATAATTTTTTGTCACAAAAAAATCCCTTAGATAAAATAAAAATTCCCGAAAAAAAAAAAGAAAAAAAAGTTGGCCCTTAGGGTTGGCCCTTAGGTAGCCCTGCACCGGCCCTGAGGGCGCCGGTCAGTGGTGGTGGCCTAACAAGAGAGAAAAACGCGCGAAAAGGGCACTAGCGAAAGCGAAGGGCTCGCAATGTTCTGAAGGGCTGAGCAGGTGAGGCCCAGTCAGTCCAAGGGGTCGCGGCGTAATAAGGGTGGAAAAAAAGCAAAATAAAAATAATAATTGGTCAGAAATGACCACCCAGGGGGGGTCCACCCGACCAATGGTCAAGCCCCTCGTAACCACCCGGACGGACGGCACCAGGGTCAAGCGCCGAAAAACTATTAAAGGGGGAAAAAAGAAAAGTCCGCGGTCAATTCGCGCGCACCCCGTCAGTGCGGCGACCACCGTTGGTGATTAAGGGAAAAATTTAATTAGGGCACTCCCCACCGCAAGCAACGCGGTGACCAGTTAGGAGTAAATTGGTCAAGCCAATTTATCCAACCGCCGCGAGCGCGGCAAGAATTAAATTTGAACAAGTGAGGTGGAGGGAGTGGAGATCCCTAGGGATATTCGCGCTTGACCAGTGGTCTGCAGGCCAAGACTCGGCCAGGGGGTATCTCAGAGCCGAACAGCTGACCGGACTTAGCCCCAGGTAACCCGGGGCTACTCGACAATACTTCGACGACGGCGTCGAAGGCGCGTTGACCACCGTTGGTCACTAATAGAAATTCACCCGAGTCCGGATGGACGCGTCTCGGGGGGAAATAAAGTCTCCACAGTTGTTCTCGCGTAACAATATCCCCAGAAAAACACTTCAACTCAGCAGAGCAATTAAAAGCACTCGAGCACGTGTCGAGTCAGTTTAATTATAATCACTAATCAATTAAATGCACCGCTGCAAAGCAGCAAGTCCACCAAAAGTATAAGTCCCGAGAAGAAAAAAAAAAGGCTGCTGGTCAAGCGGAAAATGTTTCCACTTACCTTAATCACGACTGACACGTGCGTGGGAAACGCCGCGGTCGGCCGACAGCACCCCGTGGGTCGGAGGAATCCAGCAGCAATCCGTCTTGTAATCCCAGTTATGTCACATTTCACCATTCACTAATCACTGGTCACTATAAACACCAATTAATAATAAAGCCAAAGTCCAATCACCGCTACTAAGACTCGCTCGCGCGCGCACGCTATTGCTCTTGCCAGGCACGACCGCTTCGCTCAGCCACTAAACGAAGAGTGATACAGAGGTACATGTAGAATGAATCTGCTCGGTCTCCTGAAGGGATTCCTCGCATAGCGCCTGGTTGCAAAAGCTTTGCCTGGCCTGGGTCCAAGTGACCCCGCCACAAGGTTCCGAGGAAGCTTGCGGGCCTACACAAGTTCGCGGGGGTTAGCTAAAACCCGTCGCAGCCATGTGAACCGTCTTCGGTCGCTATCCATCCGCCTCCTCAAGTAAAGGACCTTGAGTGCCCGTGTCGGCGCAGGAAGAGACCCAGAGGGGGTACCTGCTCTCGCAACACCACGCCGCAGAGTCAAAAAAGACTACTTTGGATTGCAGTTTACTGATGTCAATCATGTGAAGCATTGGTTAGATCCAACAAAATCAATTAAAAAACAAATTAAAAGTGAGCTTATATCCTTGGGGTTTAAGAATTGCATTTATTTTTCTTTATTTTATAGTTGGTCCACCTTATACATTAAGGCTAAAAGTAAAGTTTTACCTCTCTGATCCAAATAATTTAAGAGAGGAATTAACTAGATACCAATTTTTCTTACAACTTAAGCAGGACATACTCGATGGACGTGTAGACTGTCCTCAGCAGACCAACGTTGAATTAGCAGCACTTGCGTTGCAGTGTAAGTTAACAATATTTTCAAATAATTAGTAATGTATAATAACTTAATCCTATTGAGTAGTCAATCTTGATGATTTTGAAATATAATGTATCTTATTTTGTAGCGGAATGGGGAGATTATGATGATTCTCAACATACAGCAGCAGCGGTATCCGAATTTCATTTTGTACCGAATCAAAGTGAAGAGATGGAAATCGAGATCTTGGAGGAGTTTAAGACGTTGAGGGGTTTGACACCTGTTCAAGCGGAGTTCGGCTTCTTGAACAAAGTCAAGAGGATGGAGATGTACGGTGTGGATATGCACACAGTGCTTGTAAATTAATACAAAAAGAAATCGCGCGACGTCCTTTTAATATGCGTTCCGTATTTTTTTCAGGCGAAAGACGGTATGGAATATAGATTGGGTCTCACTCCAACTGGAATTCTTGTGTTCGAGAATGAGCAGAAAATCGTCTTAAGGTAGCCTTAGTAAATGTATAGGGGATTTGAATAGATGGTATAAAATAAGAGTCGTTTACAAACATAAAATATATAAATACTTCAAGTAGTAAGTAGTACAAATAATAAAAGCGAAACAGAATTGTTTAAATTTTCTCTAATTATAAATATATGTATATAAAATCTATATAAAAATTTGTAAAAAGGGATGTAGCAAAGTTACTTTATTACGTAAAGTACATAAATGGATGAATGTTTTGAACAAATGGAAGGCACTTTTCTTCTTGGAATATTGATGGCACTTTGGAATGAACAACAAAATGAGCTTGGTTGAAGGAATAGAGAGAACAGATTAGGGTTAGGATGTTCGGAATCGATTCGAGTGAACGCATAAAATATCTAAAATTCAATAAATATTTACAATACTTTAAAAATAGAAACTTATCGTAGAAATAAAAGTTAAAATATAGAAGTAATAATAATTGAAGCTCCAGTATTCAAGTTTTCTTAATAACTTCGTATGTGGACGGTATCTATAAACATATACTTTCTTATTTTTATTTGTTTGTTATCAAATTCGATAGCGTCCGCGTTTTATATCACATTGCGTTTTCTTCTATAATACAATTTAAAACGGTTTTTAAAGCTGAGTCGTTATAACGATTTCTTAATTATCGCAGTTTCTGTGGTGTTCAGTTTAGAAACCGGGGCGCTGACAATATCTTGGGATACAAACCAGGGCGAGAGATTGCTCAAACTCGGAGTCACTGCGTTTCGATTGGTGTCCTATTCGAATCCGTTTGTCAACGAACCATCAACCTGTTTCAATAAAATTGATATAATCATTTGTTGGATTTGCCAGTGTATTGTCAATGATGGTGTTGGGTAACAAATAAAATAATAATAAGCACACGTAAAGCGAACTTACCTCAGAGTCGGTTGCAATCGTATCCATTTGGAAGGGATTGCTGGAGAGAAATGGATTTGCTTCGTGGAAAGGATTAGTGGTGGGGGTTGTAACAAAGGGATTAGAGCTCTTCGGGGGTTCGTCAAGTGCTTCATCAAAGCATGGCAAGTCTTCGGTGCAGTTACCGTTGATTAAGCTGAGAGGTTGCTGCTGTTGACCTTGTTTCTCGCTCAGCATGACCCGTTCCAATTTACCACCGTCTGATTGCCCGAAGAATGTCACCGTTACAGGCGTGGTGCATCTCTTCCTCTCGGGACCACCTTCGACGACATCCTGGTTATTCTGCGGCACTGGACCGCTTACAGACAACGTCAATTTGTCGCCGCCCTAATGGTGTTAGCAAATTGCAAAACAAAAACAGAAATAAGCGAGAACGGCACAAGCGGGATACGGAATGATTTAGCAAAGTCTATACTTACAACTGATATAAAAGTGGCAGCATTCAGAGAATTCATATTCTCCTCGTCGTTGTTCGCCGCAGCCACGAACATCTGATTCGTTAGCTTCGTAACGTTTCCGTTCAACTCCTCCTCCGCTTTCGCTTAAATAAATACATTGTGTTTAAATAACAAATTAATTTGTTCTTTGAAGTGTACTAACCTTTCAGTATATTGCATTTCATTTCGTTCAGAGGTATCGGTTTTGCACCGCCGGTCCCAGCTGCATATTTATTTATGTTATTAGGAATGTCGGGGGACAGTTTCAAAGCGGAGTCGTCGCAATCTAAGTCCATGAGGTTTGAGACGAACTGATCTGTATTAAAGCAATCATATTTACCATCAATCTTGTTAACCTCGGACGTTGCCACGTTTCGGGCTTCGTCCCTCTGGATACCGCTAAATGACTCCTTCGCGAGGCACTTCAGCAGCACGTCCAGCTGACTGTCTGCATTTGAAGACGTCGGACTGACGGGCGGAGACGATGCTGATGTTGGTCTGTTCCTTTTCAGTGTGCCGTTTTTGCTACTACTCATTGATAAAACGGGACTGGAAACAAAAGCAAAATATTTAACATTGTAAATCGTACAGATTTCATGCTTATATCAATTTACCTGTAGGAATTAACAGTGGGCGTGAGACTCTTCGTGTTGTCATCCGATACTTTACAATAATAAGGCTCGTTTTCGGTAGCAACGGTGGCATTGGATTTCGTTGATCGTTCGCTGCATCGACTCGACGAAGGCTGTATGCAATCCACAATTTTAGGAACTTCTTGCGAAGTCTCCGTGATTTGACTGTTCCGGAATTCTGTTGTTCGCGTAACCTCTCTCGAAGCACGTGGCTTTGTCTCCTGCTGTACCTATGATGGAAAAAGAAACTTTGAGTATTCAATATCTAAAAATCGAATTGTAAATTTACCTTTGACTCGGTCTTCTTTCGAGTTGCACCACTCGCCGTGGTCGACTTTGATGCGTACTCTGATACTCGGTTCGACCCGAATACCGGAAGCGAGAACCCATCCGGAAAAAGTTTTGGCGAGCCGATGGACCTTTACAGGCGCTTGTAGTCTGAAGAAACCGTGATGCTCCACAGCACATTTCCACAAGTGCTTACATGCCTTCTCATTATGCAGCCTGCATCATTTATAAATTAATATTGTGAAATAGAAAAATTTGAAAAATGGTGACATTAATATTTTTTGAAAATGTAAGAAGTATTGTTAAGAATACATTATGCTTATAACTTCACACTGATAAACTGTATTATTGATTATAATCTATCTAATCAAACACCTGTTATGCTAGAGTACATCGCTATTGTTAAAGGCAGCAAATAAAATAGGAACTTTCTCTGAATATTTCAATGTGTGTAATACACATATTTAGAGTATAAATAAGGATATATATTACTCCATCCTAATAAGTAATTTTTCGTAAATAGCAATAATAGGACTTTATAACTTTTTGTCAATATTCTTCCCAAATAGTGTTAAATTATAATTAAGTAATAAATTATGTGTTCTTATTAGGCTGAGCGTGGGATTTTTAAAATCATTATTTAAGAGTTACGCGAACATTACAAACAGCTGTGTTCGACGATGCGTACCCAAAGTAAAATGCGGCAAACAATTTAAATTCATGTTGTACACTATACTACTTCCGTTTGTCGCAGTATAGCCTCCATTACTAATCTTCTTACGGTTCTTCCAGCAGAAGCGGAAGTAGATGAATCACGTAAAGTATTTGTACCGAAAACATTGCTTTTTTTTAATCGGTTAAAGCAAAAAATAATTCCAACAGTCATTATTTTCTAATTATCAAGCAACGATAATTTAGAATTAACATCGATGCCCACATTTAGATATTTAGTAATTTATTGCAATCGAACCAAATCTCAGTGCTTGTAACATTCACGCCCAGCGTCATCATCCTCGACAACAACTAACGTCAACTTCTTCTTTTTGAAGTTCAATTTACCGATCTTCGGCCACGAGAAAAGTC